CAAGGTGATCACAGTTGTCTTCCTTCTCATTGACTCAGAATGTGCTACAGGCTGGACATGAGAGGTGTAATTTTTCCACATCGACAGCATGTTAAGCTCTTAGTTGGCACAATGCTATCAACAACTAAACAAAAACAACAACAAACCCTGATAGCTATTTGTGAGGAAAAGTAATTCCCCTATATAACCATATTGGGTACATGTGCACAATAAACTTCATGGTTTTAGCACTTTTAAGTAATTATATTTATTGCTATACTAGCTGTTATAACATAGTTTATCAGTTAATTGGGTTTTAATGGTAATATGGCCCACACTAATATGTACTTTAAGAGACAAAGCTGTACACAATACTTGTTTAAACATTTTATGGGGTGCCGTTTTCCATATTTTCTAGTTATTTTACAGGAATTTGAGCTTTTATTGGATGTGTTAAGATCCTTTAGCATTCTGAACCAAAGCATCTTACATGGTCAATATCAAACTCTCACATTTTACATCAATTACTTATAGATATGATACATGCACACAAAATGATTTTCTTAGTCATGTCTGGTACTTTATATTTATAGATATATGTGTGTGTACATACAAAAACAATGATGTCTTTTGTTTATATTCAGTTGTCAACTATTGAATATATGTTTATAAGTAGTTTGCAAGTATGTTCATGAATAGAATTACAGTCATCATTGGAGTCTGCAGAGGACCGGTTCCAGGTTCTTGTTCAATTGCCCAAATCTGGAGGTGCTTGTGTCTGTTATACAAAACAATTTAAAATGCTATAGCAATTCATATAACCTACACACATACTCTCATGTTCTTTAAATTGTTTCTTCATTATAATAGTTAATACAATGTAAATAGTGTGCAAGTAGTTGCTATTTTATTCTATATAAGGAATGATAACGGGAAATATTTGTATTTGTTCATCACAGACACATGATTTTTAGAAGTTTTTGGTCTGTGGCTAGTTGTAGAATCTGTGGGTATGAAAGGACAAGGGGACAGAAAACTGTTCTACTATGATGGGCAGATGTGTGGCCTGTGGCTGAGTTTTAGCCCACTGAGTCCAAATCGAAGTAACTTCAAGAAAGTGCTACCTGCTTAAGCCTTTTAATGGTCAACCAGGAATTTCCACTCTGGTTACCTCAGAGTAAAGTGAGATCACACTGATGTGAAGTGACAGGGGTTGCCGGGTTTGATCTGGCTGAGGAGATTTTGCCAAGAGTTTCTATGTCCCCTGGGCTGGAGACCAAAATACATAATTAATTTTTGCCCAGGCCTGTGGGAGTACACATGACTTGTCATAAAACAAGCTACTGGCATTCCTACCTTTTGAGGGTGTTCATTTCACTAGGGAGCGTGAGGCAGAAGCTATTAGTAAAACTATGTTGATCTTTTTTCAGGGAAAGGAAAGCTGAGCCTCAGGGTGAAAAGGAGAAGGCTGGAAGGAATAGCTGATGCATGTGAGATAAGTGTGTTTACATGGGTAGGAGGTGTCAAAGTGGCATTACTCATGAGACTGATTGGAACAGAATGTTGCAAATCACTTTCAAGATTTTTGTTGGACTTCCCCATATTTTTGGAGGTCGGAGTCAGGATTACTGGCTTTGGTAATTAATCCTTCTTAGCCTACATTCTTTGCTACTGAGAAGAGGAGTGATTCAGGGGCCCAACCTGCTAAATCAAGATAGTGTGTGACCTCTGGAAGCAAGAGGACTTTTCCTCACTTGGCCAGAGAAACAGAATCCGGGAGCGTTATGATGGGTAAATCAACAGAGGTGATGTTTTCGCAGAGATGGCTAAGGGGGAAATGTTTGGTGCATTTTGAGAATGAAATATATACAATGACAAATTCATGGAACAGTGTTGATTGTGTAATAAGTGACATCACAGAAGGAGCCTTTAAAGAATGTTAGAACTTTCAAACAGAGCATGCATTTCAACACCAGTCTATCAAAGCTTATCGTTCAGGGCTGCTCTGTTTGCCTGTTTGTTTGTTGGGCTTGGATTCACATGAGCCAGTATATTTATATCCCAGCTGTGTATAAAGACATTTCATCAGTTTGCTCTGGCCAAAGCTATAATGCTCATGCAATGATTTTGCCAAATACTGTGTCCTTATCTTTGTGTCACTCTGCAATTAGTTCTCACACCCTCAGATTAATTCAGACTCAACTAGGATTATTTAGGTAAAATTTTTTCTCTTTGATTTTTTTGTTTAGGAAATATCAGATGACCTCCCCATGAAACCAGTTATATTTTAGAAGAAGATAGGAGCAGACTTGGCTCCTTTAAAAGAGTTAAGACCAAAGGGCCGTATTCCCTAGCACCCAGGACACAGGAGTCTGGTACAGCTTAGCACTTTGAGAGATATTTGTAATAAGTTAATAAAAATTATATGGTGATTTTTCTGTGGATAAAAAACTATGATCCAAAGAGCATAAACTTTGGAGGCCAAAAAGGAATATTTTAATCAAGTTTACCATTATATATTTCCAACTTCTCAAACATTATAGGCTTCCTCCCTTTTCGAGCTTAAACATCAGCCTGAGGTAGGATGAGTCAAAGGGGAGAAAGGATTTTCATTCTGAAAGTTAAACAACACATGCGATTCCTTCCTGCTCAGTGCTTCCTGTACTGGCCACACAGCAGAATCTGGGGTTCTGTATCTTAGGACCCGTGTCACTATGTTCTGTAATCTTCCTGCTCTTCTGCCTGTGTTCCTGGATATACAGTCCTTCAGAACTAGGCTTTTGTGAAATAAATGCCTTGATAATTTGAATTTCTGCTTTGTGCCTGCATCATAGTAAGAGCTTGAAATACGATATTGGGTGATCACGTGGCAGGGTTGTGATGATTTAAAAAAAATCCATTATTCTGTGTGGGCACATAGGAAGCATGTGTGTGAATGTGCCTGTACCATGCTTTAGGCATGTATATCAGAGGACAGCTCTGTATGGTTGATCCTGTTTCTTTTGGCTTTATTTGGGTCCCAGGGATTGAACAAAGGACATTGGGCTTACACAGCAAATGCTTTTACCTGTGAAGTCATCTCCTAGACCCTGAAAAGTGTCTTGGAAACTACTGCACCCCTTAAGTTTTGCATGTGGTATATCTATCTCACCCAAGCATGACTGGCTTCATCTAATCCCATTTTTGCCTTGCCACACATAGTCCAAATCCAACTTTATATTCACTACAACCTAGTACCTGGTACGTAACACATACTCTATGACATCAGCTGCATGCAACATACATCTGCTCTCAAATTTCATCTTTAAAGGAAAAAAAAGGCAGGGTTGGATTGTTGCTCAGTGATTGGCAGAGCATTTGCCCAGGATGAATAAGGACCTGGGAAAAACTAGGATCAATTTATACAATACATAACACACACACACACACACACCACAAACACACTCACTCTCACTCAAGGAACAAAAAATCCATATTTCTTTCATTCCTAGAAATTAAGTTTTTCTGACAATTACTTGAAATCTCAGATAGTGATGTTCTAGTAGTCTATTTTAAGTAGACATCCTTAAATAATTTGTTTTCTTGAATTCAACTTGATACCAGGCAATTAAAAAAGTTGTTGTTGTTGTTTCTTAACTATGGATACGGTAATTCCTTACATTTTCTTTGCATGGGTGTCTCTTCTTAAAGAGACTCAGTTTTGGAGTCCAAAGACTTAGGAAACTCATCCGGTTTCCCTTTAGACAAGAATTTTAGTCTTTTGTTCATCTTGACATCAAACATCCTAGATATGGATAGAGCAAAAACATGTAAGGTGAGTTTACTTCCTTCCAGGACTTAGCACAACATGAACTTCTGTGGGCAAGTCTGCAGGCTGTTTAAAGTTTAAAATACTTGCTCCCTGCCATTTGAGTACACATGTTTGAGGCTGAGAATCTTATCAGCAGATAAGGGCAGAAAGGCAACCATCCTACATTCCACAAAGTAACTTCCAGATGGTGGGGAGACGAACGGAGGAAAAACTTGAGTCGTCTATCAGGTCAAACAGCCCACACCTTTACTGGCCCATTTGTTCAGCCTGTCATGAGTCCCCTCACATCTTAGGATAGGCCAGGGTGGCTGTTTAATTAACTCCCAGGAAGACATTTTGGTGAGGGCAAGTCATGTATTACTGAAAACAAATAAAAAAAACTCTACTCTTTTGTTCTTCTTCATTTGCTTTTGTAGTCACTGTTATCTGGCAATTCTGACTCAATCCAAATAGCAACCATGATAGTTTTTCCAAGGATCCACTTGATCCTTTGTTTTGTTACTTTTCTTCTTTTTCTGATTTAATCTGACAACTTGAACACAAGAGATTTCTTTTCTTGGTGCCAAGGAAACAATGGCATTTTTCAGGTAGGTGTGTGTGCGTGTGCGTGCTGCAGAAACACCACATTTGTTATTTTTAAATATTTACAAGAGACTAAAAGTTGCATGTTGCTGAGTTACAAGTGAAAAACTGTCCATGAATAATTTGGGGGAACCTTAATTCTTCTCAGAATGACTTGAGAACTTACTGAGATATGCCTCTGGCTATTTTTCTCAGAAAATCGGTGTTCTTTTCTTTGAGAAAGTCCCACCTTCTGAGAAGAATGTATATCTGCATTTTTATTATAATAGTATATTTTCATTGAGGAATATCTTGTCATTGAAGGAAAAACTGCAAAGGTACCATGATAGAATGTTCCCATATTCACTTCATATACTTTTCTATTAATGACTTAGATAACCATGATATATACATCAAATTAACAGCATCACAGTTCTTAAATGTCAGACATAGAAACTGCCTAGTGTTGTAATTTGAATGTATGTTTCTACCCCAAATTTCTGTTTTGGAACCAGTTCCCAAGGCAGTAGTACTAGGAATTGGAAACTAGGGGAGCTTGTGAGAATGGTCTTCATAAATAGTATTTCTGTCCTCATAAAAGAGACTTCTTCAATCTTATATAGCCCCTTCTCTTTTTTTTTTATCCAAGGACAATGAACTTATCTACCATCTATAAGAAGAGATGGACTCTGCTGGTGTCTTGGGTTTGGATTACCAGCTGCCAAAACTGTAAGTATTTGATGTATCCTTCTTATAAATTACCCAGTATTATTATATGTTATAGTATTCCATTAGAGAAAGGGCACTACATATTTGAATCAATGACCCTTATATATTACATCATCCAATTAGGTTCCCTCTTTGCATGTAGACATCCTGTCTCCGTCAATCTCCTCCAATATGTGACAGAGATTTTCACTTGCTTTTGTCTTCTTTGGCATATTTAAAAGCTAGTGTCAGATATTCTGTAGATTATCTCTCTATACTAATCCATCCCATGCTTATGGTGAATAAGCCTCTTTCAAAATACTCTATAGAGGCAAAAAGTGGAGAGGCATAGCATTGGATAGATTTCAAATAAAAACTAAGGAGTGATCTCACTTTTAAAAGGTAGAGAACTAGATGCAGAAAATATAAACAGAAGATTTTTGTTCTTTTTACCAAATTAGGGCAGTTGTCTAAGCTAGAGTTTGAATTCTGGGACATCTTACTTCATAGGTAAATCTTATTCTCAAGTGTGACCCCATGATGTCTGGAGACTGCACTGATGTGCTTCCCTGAGCTCACACACATGTCACCTGCTAAAATCACTGGGAAGATAGAATCAAAGTACGCTTTAGGGAAATCAGTTTGGAACAGATGAGGATGATTCTCCCAGATGAGACCCAAATCTGAAAACAGAGGTCTGAATGAGATTTATAAACTCTAGATAGATTTCTGAAGACCTTCAGACACCCAAGTGGGGTAGGAGGCTATGGAAGTCCTGGCAACAATAACAGTATTGCCCATCCTTGACAAGCACCCCAGGTCAGAGTACTTTCTGTCCACCTGAAGGAAGTGGAAGGCACAGAGTATAGAAATTAGAGACTGTCAACTGTGCTCCTATGTTTGGGTTTCCAGACACCATTGACCATTTTCTGAAGTCCAGACATGCCCTAGCAAATAATTATGATCTTTAAACATCAGGTCTTAATGCATGGTAAGAATAACAGGGTCTCATATGCACAACTATAAGCCTTCTAATGCTCTCTGCTTCATGGAATGCTCCAGCAAGCAAGATCATGATTCATGCTTCAGGACCAGAAAGTAGCACATGGTTCTATGTGGTTTGTGTCATATTCCTGCATATGGAATGGCTTCTTCTGACATGCTGGGTTGACTTTCCCTTGATGTACAACAGGTGTAGTGTTGAGTCATCTTAGGCTTTGAAGCAAAGACAGAACAAACAAAAGACAGGATTTAGGATTAAGAGCCCTGCACTTCTTCAAGTGAATAAAGAACCAGAAAAAGATGCACATAGTCTCCATTTCATATCTATTAAGCTGTGCCTCTATTAATGGCCAGACTAGCAGTTTTAAAAGCAGAAGCCTTGGGATTTTCCTCATAGTGTTAAGACAGCAACAAGGGTTAAGGTCCATCCAAATATTTTTCTACCAACTTAAAAAAATGGAACAAAATTCCAAAGGGTCTATTTTTTAGTACTTTAAACTGAAGACTCTACCATCAAACAGATGTAGTACTGGCTGTGTTCTTAGGGCAAGAGAATTATCATTCCTGTGTCAAGACACTATCAGTTTTGTATCTCCAAGGTGACAGGTGAAGATTAAGTGGGTTATGGTATTAAAACACTTTGTACTGTTCCTCGTCTTTTGGGGGAGCTATAAATGCCATTCTGTTCTAGAGCTAGACCAAGGAAGGTCTTACTGGCCACTATTTTCAGCATTGCAAAGGTGGGTAAAGATGGTAGACCATGCTGTGATGCAGGAGGTGAACAGTCTAGGTGGTCAGTCACAGTTCATCATAGCTTGAGAACTGCTAAGGAAGCAGTGGAACATTCTCTAGCCTCTGCGCAGGGTGAAAGACTTTACTGCTGTTGGCCTTCCTGTCCTTATTTTCTTACCTCAAGGGTGCAGTGCTATTCTAAGTCTATGGGTCTATGTATTTTGGGAGCTGTAATGAGGTACCTCTCAGCATCCCTTGCCATTTTCAGGCAGCTTTTACTAGCTGCCTGGGCACAGGAACAACCCAGTAATTTAAGAGCTATAGTGGATAAAGATGGAAATAGATAGACCCACACTTCAAGAAAGCTGGAGTGGGAGTGATTACTGTGGGTTCTCTCTTTCACAAAAGAAGAATGCCAGTGTGGTGGAAACCCATACACACAAATGTTCCCAAAGGACTTGTAATGTGGCTTTCTACTTCTCCTCCTACCCCTTGTCTGGAGGGCACAGAAGGATGGGTGATCTCTTAAGCAGCAAAGAAATAGCATTTGCTAGTTATGGAGTTAATGGAACAATGAAATTCTTCATTCACCCAAGGGCTGGCTCTGTGAAAGTTGCTTGAACATGATTCATGTTGAGCTCAAATTCTTCTAGCATGGGAATAAATTCTAAGAAAGTAAAGATGTCATTTAAAATAGCTTTGGAGGCAAAAAAATGCAACCCTTAAAAATGCCTTCAAGTTCCAAATGGCCGATCATTCTTTCCTTTGCTACAGCACACAACATTCTAGAATTTCAAAGCAGGTCTTCTCTGCACATGATTTTCCAAAGCCCGTTATAACTACGGAGTTATGAAGTCATTCCATGGTGCAATTATTTCTGGATCTGCAGCATTCCTCTTAGAAATTACCTATTCTCTGACACTACAAGGCAGGGCCTTGGTTAAAAAAACAAAACAAAACAAAACATAAATACAGGATGATGTCTGTTTCAAAGGAACCTTGCCATTCTTTCTTCTCTTATGGCCTGGAATAAAGGGAGAAAAATGCTGTGCGTGTTGTGTTTTGATCAGGTTTCCACTCCCTCAAATGTTGTCCTTACTTTAAACACAGGATGAAGGAAATGCTTGTCTCCAGGAGCTGACACATCCCTGGTCATATTTCAGATACAATTAGCCCCCATTGATGGTGGTGGCTGATCTGTCAAGTGAGTAGCTAATCTTATCTGTGGTTCACAAATGACTCAGATGGTAGCTTGTGACTTTGATTACTGGGAGACTGGCCCCCATCAGAGGGCTCTACTCCAAACAGTGATCTTTCCAGCCTCCTGCTCCAGGAGATCAAAGCCCTCTCCCTCTTGCTATCTGCAGGGAAGCTCATTAGAGGGAGGCTGTCAGGGTTATAATCATGCAACAGTTTTACTTCTGGGTTATAACGCTTTCCCCTTCTTATCAGCCTGTGAGGTCCAAAGTGAGAAGGATAAAGTAGGTACAGATGACATATGATACATTTAATAGGCTCACTGGTGACTGCCTGGGCCCCAGCTCTCTGCCACCGCTGCCTCACTGACTACTGAAGGACTACCCACCCCCATCCCCAAATCTGGAAGGATTAGACTTTATTCCTTCAAAGTCAGAAGGTGGAGTGCAGAAAAGAATTCTTAGTCTCCAGCAGTTACTTTACAATGAAGACCTGCAGGAGCATTCAAGTGAAATAAAGAATCCAAAGACGGTCTGTCTTCATATTTCAGAGCCAGTGTGACTTTGGAAATTTTGCTGTGGATGTTTGAATAAAATTTAATGCTTCCCTTGTGAGCTTTAATTTACACATTTTAAGTCTCCTCACAGGTAACCTATGTAGCACTGATTAAATAGGTAACCACTATTGTCATTTGACTTATTCCTGTGCCTTCTTTTCCAGAATTGAGCTAATATATGTTTATTCTGTTTGAATCGCCCCTCTGTGTTCCCTCAGTCCCTGGAGCTCTCACCCATACCACTTCATTGGCACTGCTTCTGCCATGCTGGCCTGGCTTTCTTACCATTTGGATTTCTCTTCTTCCCCTTTAAATGAGTTAAAGTTCGATGCACCAGAGAAATTTACAAAGCCCACTGAGAAAGGTTTGTGCTTATTGTTGGGTTTCATTGAAACCCATGTAGATGATTGTGCTTCTGACATAGGACCCCCAAATTTAGATTTCTAAAAAATTCCCAAGATGAGAACTATGGACCAAATCTAATTTTCCTATTTATAAGTGGAGAATTGAGGCTTGGATTGGAGAAGCAGCTTCTCTAAATATATACAATGGCAGAGCCGTTCAATCCAAATATAAGCTCTACCTTTCATGGGTCTGTATGTCTGTCTGTCCACATTTATGTGTTGCATGTTTGAGATGCAGAAGGATAGACCCATCCCCACTCCAACCTTTCCATTTCATAAACAGCTTCTTTTGGTTTCAAACTCAGGGATTTTACTTTATATCTTGTTGTTGTGTCACTGGATGACAACTCACAGTGAGGTGTTTGGATACAGGAAAAGCCATATTTTAGTGTCAGGCACTAAAACACTTAGAGGGATCTGCATCACTGAAAAAAATTACAGCAAGATATAAGATTTCCTGGTTGGTTGACTGGGTCTCCATCACCTGCCTCAACTCTGCTCTCATTACAGTCTTGATTGTCCACACAGAGCTAGCTGCTCTCACTTCTGGGTGGAATGAGAAGCAAAAGCAGTACTTTTGGGAGTGGGTGATTTAAACTGGGTAGATCAGGGGTTAATTTCACTTCCTTACATCCCCTATGGTATAAAATTTCTCAAGGGACTTAAATTCTAGTAGTTCTATTTTGTTGTTGTGTAAGGTAGGAAATGACTCTACTTCATAGGGTTATTAGGATAATTAAAAGAAGCAATCTTTAAATCATCCTTTCCAGGTGTCTGGAACATGCGGAGTGTTTGGCTAACCTCAACTCTTATCTTTCCTTTCTTTGTCTATTCACTCCCCTCCTCCCTGCCCCCATAGTTACCTAATATCATTAGAACTTGAGTTAAAATAAGGAAAATACACTATTTCCTTCTTCTCTATGTAGCACTGATTAAATAACAGTTCTTTCCTCAACATTAATTTAACCATGTTCCCTCTCACTGAAATCATTCAAAACATGTGGGAAAGAAATTATTTGTACTTAAAACAATAATCTTTCCATTAAATATAATTTAGAAGGCATTAACATTAGTTGTAATTATAATGGAATCCATGTCTCACACATTATATGATGAAAGAAAGCCAGGCATACTTCAGGAATTAGTGACAAACTTATCAGAATATTAATCTCCTTTAGTTACCCTTTAAGAGAATAAATAACTAATCAATCAGTGACTGCTAATATAATAGATTACCCTTTGGCTAAGATGGATGATAATTTAAACTTTAGCAGAATTTATTTATTTAACTAACAGAAATCATGGCTCAATTTTATTTATTTTAAGAGACAATACAGTAAAACCAAGAAAAACTTGAATAATTAAGATTATAATTAACTTCTGTAAGAACAAAACAAATTTCATCAATTCCAAATGAAACACTGAATACATATCTAATTATGCATTTGTTAAGTAGACTTTTGAAAACAGCCTTAAGTCTCAGTTTAATTCTAGTGTAAAGCCAATGCAATCACCTAAAATTACATATCTTCTTATTTTTAGCTACAAAATTTCTGAGACATTAGATACATGTTATTGAACCTAACTTACAACAGTTATTAAGACTCTGAATAAGTTTCTGTCAACTCTGTTCTGATTATTTTTTCTACCATAATGGAGCACGGAGGTCTCGTTGCCAAGGAAGAGTCTCATCTACATTCTATTTATCATAGCTTTTATAGATACATCCCGACCCCAATGTAATTCCTCCTGGTTGTTATTTTTATGCTGCAGTGTAGCCAACAGGTAGGACTAACTGTTGTCCCAGCTTGGAAGCAGTTGGCAATCTCAGCCCACGATTGTTTGTAACCTGCATGTGACTGTGAATGTGACCATTAGGAGGTAGCTGACTCTCTGCTTCCATATAGGGTAGTTCAACATACTCCTTCTCTCTCTGCTTTGCATTCCTTAGAAGGAGGGAGAAGAATGGGAGGAAAAGAAGAAAGGACATTCCTGGTTGGTGAGCTGGGAAAACAGACTGCATTACAATCCAGCTGATAGAGAAAAAACCTCAACCCTAAGATTCTGCCCCTTCAGCCATCTGGAGCTACCCATGCTGCTAGTTATGGAATAGTAAATTTTTCTAAAAAGAATGCAGTGAAATACTAGTAGATCTACCTGGTTGGAAACCTAAAACTACCCTCTGTAGGTATCATGTGAGTAAACTCAGGATAAAGTTTCATTTACCTACTTATTTACCTTTGCCAGCCTATAGCAGGCCTTGCTACCATCACGATTCTCCTGTTCCAAGGAACTCCAGACCAGTCGATTAGAAAACAATTATAAGGTATTATAGAATTATACAGCCATTGAAACCAGTTATACTTAGATAGGACCCCATGGAATGACTGCAGTGAGTTGAAAATGTCTAGAAGGTAGGCGAAAATGGACCCAAAACTCTGTTGACCTCTTAAGATTCATTCCCAGACATTTTTCGAAGAAGGCAAGGGCAGGTCCCCTGAATGAATGATGGGTATTTCTGCTTTCTGTCCCAAAGCACTCCTTCAACACCTTCAAAGTATGTTTGTCTACTTGTCTTCCATCTCCTTTAGATGAGGGCCACTCTCACAGGCAAGGTACTAGAGTTTTATGAACAACAAAACAAGCTGCAGTCATGTGCATTTCAGCTTTTCTGAGACAAGCACAAGCTTTTCCACATGTCCCTGTGCAGAAACCAACCATAGTTGTCATCTGGACATGTGCTTTATGCTTGAAGAAGTGTTTGGAGTATACAGCCTCTTGAGGATGTGGTTGGAGTGACAAGAGATGCATTTGAATCACATGCTGTTCTAGTATGGCAGTACCTCATGAAAGTCCCAACCGGAGGATTCCATAGATGTTTAGAGAAGAGAATAACATTGCTGCCCCAAATCTAAGTCCTGGCTGCTAAATAGTTTTGTCATACAGGGTTTTAAAGCAGAGGATCCCCTCTCAGGTGAACAGAGGACCCTCCCTATGACTGAGTCTGTAGAGTAGACATCCAGAGAAGTAGATTTCCTTGGGATGTAGTTTATTTACTGAGGCTCCCCTCTGTCTATAATTTCATGTTATCAATAAGAGTTGGGAGGCCTGTTCATTACTTCAAAGCATTTGAACTCTAGCTGGCAGGTGGAGGTAAAGCTTATCCCTCAAATACAGTGATGCTCAACTTTCATAATGATGCGACTCCTTAATACAGTTCCTTGTGGTGTGGTGACCCCAACCATAAAATTATTTTCATTGCTACTTCATAACTGTAATTTTGCTACTGTAATGAACCATAATATAAATATTTGATATGTAGATTGTTTTAGGTGACTCCTGTGAAAAGGTCGTTTGACCCCCCCCAATGGGTTGTGACCTACAGGTTCAGAATCATTGCTTTAGTACTGTTCATTTATTCCTGCATCTATCCGTTTACCAGCTATATTTGAAGTGTCTGCTTTGTGTCATTCTCCACTAGTCAAGGGTGTGGTACACAGAACCAAATAAGACGTAAATCTCAAGGACCTACAGGCAATTAGAGGAAAGGGGAGACAAGAACACACAGCATCAGAGAAAAGTTTTAGACAACCTATAATGTGAGGAGCATGTAGGAGGGCTATGGGCTTTCTGTCCTCCAGCTCTAAGCAAGAATTCTCAGAGAGAATGAGTGATAAGATGAGCCCAAAAGATCAGATTCTGATGTGGCCACTGACATAAAACCTAGCTCAACCAACCAAATGAGACTAGAAGTGTGGTTTTGGAAGGCAGGAGATGAATCAGTGGGGTTTTGACCTATCTTATGTGTTAGGTGAGTAGTAGAATCCCTATGTGTTAGGTGAGTAGTAGAATCCATATTCAGGTAATTCAGAAGACAGTTGCTTTATCTTCCTCTTCCCCTCATCCTCCTCCTGCTTCTCCTCTCTATCCCTCCAGCCTGGGATTTTATTCATTTATTTTTATGATATTACATTTCTATACATATAGGTCATACTTTGTTCTAATTATCCCCATTTTCCTATTGCCCTCCCCTGACCCTCTTACCCA